CCACATGATTCACTGCACAATACTCTGCATTCCCTTATGCTAACCTTAAAGTTGCACATTTTTTTTTATATATTAACAAATGATAATTGTCAAATAATTTTTAGTAATGTGATATGGGCCTCCTACAATACTGTTAGGGCGGCTCGAACACAGAAGTGAGCGAGTCGCAAAAAGGGACGGACCCAGGTGGCTGACTTCAATGCAGGCAGTGCTAGTTTATTTACAGTGTTAAATAAGTGACAAGAAATAAACAGTAGAGTAACAGTGAGACCGGGTGTCGAGCTTTGGAGGAGAACACAGTCAATGGTGGAGATGATGAGAAGAGGACCGGGCTGTGGACACTGGGACTCACTCCTGGACTGGTCGAGTAGGATGTTACTGAAGATGAACAGAAATAGTACATACGGTAAGTAGTAGACTGTGCATCGACCTGCAGGGTGGTGGTGAAGCAGAGCGGAGGAGGTCCGTGGTCCGAAGGAGCAACTGAGGCGAAGGGGGAATGAATCTAAACAACTGGAAAGAGGGAGACAAAAAACCAACTAACACAGATCTATAAGAACGACGGGGAACAAACGGGATAACGTAATCAGGGTAAGGGAGTGAAAACGGAGCGAGGGGAGTGAGAAAGTAGGTGCAGCCGGGCAAACCTGACAAATACACCCACACATGATTAATTTTGCAGTATTGATTCGGTGGGGTTGTTACTGGTGCACTTTTCTTCTGATTGCTAAGTTTGGTAGAACAGTGATGGTGACTGGACAGGTGAGCAGGCCTGGCTCTCAGATGTGATTGCCTGTCAGGTCAACTGGGCCAGCCACTGTATAACTTGAACAAATACAATGTGGATATTATGTGTCAAACTACTAAATATCTGAAGATATTTGCTTGGGTTAGGACAGGATTCAGGGAATCTTTGTATTAAGGTCAAAGTGACGATGGGCTATGATAGGTTAGGGTTAGAGACTAGTGTCCCAGGTAATGGTGTATATAATGGCCTCTTTGGGGCCAAATAATGTGTAAACATAATTTAACTTCAGATTCTGTAAGAATGCTCACCCATTCTTTGGAACGCTTAACTGTGTATTTTCAACTGACAGCCCATGGGACATTTTAGGAACAATTTCTTACTTTCCAAAGTATTCTCACGCTCAAGGTCCTTACAAGAGCACACACACACACAGACACACACACACACACATAAATGCAGTAAAGCTCTGTAGCAGTCATGGGATCTTGTGATAATACCAGGTGCAGCTCATTTCCTATAGAAGGCAGATCAATGACAGAAAGGACAAACTCTAATTAACAGCCACATGTGAAGTGGAATGGTTGGTATGGACAATAACATGCTGGTCAGTGGTGTGCATCTAATGCTTTGGTGAGTCTGACTGATCTCCCTGTGAGTTAAGGGGCCGTGTGTCTGATACCTAGGGACCAAATTTCAGTGCAGGGATAGAATTTACTCTTGCACTGCAGTGACTGTAGAGATATACTGTATAGGATGTGCTTAGTTCCCAATTGACATGCAGTAAATGCATCTTATCATCTGTGACAAGGTGTTGTCATGTAGGCAAAACTGAATCCATGCATGTCAGGAGGCCTCATGGTGCTCGCTGCTATACAAGCAAATCATCACTGCCCTTCATTATTCTCCACCACCAAAAGGTGACAGCTGAATGCAAGTTGGAAGTTCACACATGGCAAGTCATCAGGGGAGGATACCAAAAGTGCTCATGCATTCACACAAGTTGCACTGTGCACACAAGCAATACTAAATTTGCAGATGCATTCAGTTTCGAGGCCACTTTCCTGTTGAAGTAGCAGCAAAAACAAACCGAGGTATCCAAAGGATTGTTATAACCCAGTGTATTGCTCAAATTAGGACTCTCTGGCTTAAATAACAGACCTTTTTCAAAGCAGACATTTTTCAAACTAATAATAATGATATCAATGCCATTCCAAATGCTAGGGGCAAGTTTTCATAGTCAAGGAGTTATATTATGAGGGTCAAACTATAATGGAAATATAGCTTTTAGATGGAATGGCATTAGGGAGACAGTGAGCTGCCTTGGCACAGGTGGCCAGTTTGTTCTGCTTCCATCGTGGGGCGGCTGTGGTTCAGCGGGTAGAGCAGTTGTCTCCCAACCAGAGGGTTCGAAGTTCGAATCACGGTGCCTGCAGTCCACATGTTGAAGTGTCCTTGGGCAAGCCACTGAACCCCCAAGTTGCCCCCGATGGTTAGAGCCATTGGTGTGAGTTGGCGCCGCAGATGGCTGCCTTGGTTCTGTACCAGAAACAAATTCCTTGTGTGTAACACACTTGGCCAAATAAAGGTGATTATTGTCAGTGACTCATGTGTTTTCCCTTGTCTCTCCTTGTCTGTAGGGAACATCTTTGTGGTGAGCCTGGCAGTGGCAGACCTTGTGGTGGCCATCTACCCGTACCCTCTGGTCCTCACCTCCATATTCCACAATGGCTGGAATCTGGGTTATGCCCACTGCCAGATCAGCGGCTT